TCTTTTTCTTTCTTTTCGTCCTTGAATTTATGTTCTTTTTCTCAGGACTCATAACGATAGTTTTCTGCAGGAAAGAGATTTTTACAAGTTTGCAAAGTGAGGATAGAGATATAATGAGAAGTACGTTGAAGAGTCTAACTAGATGTCTGTTTCTCTCATTATTTTTCTCAGCCGCCGAGTAGTAATCACATTCTATCAAAAAGTACTGAAATTTCGGTGAGTATTTGTTGTATTTGCAGTCTTCCAAACTGCTGCTCAAATTTTTTGTTATCAGTCTAAATCCCTGACCTGGATTCAAAAGGCCAAGCAAGACTACTACTTTTGTTGGGTAATCTTACCTTGTTGCCTAATTTCGTTAGGTCATTTGTCATGGCGTAAACATTTGCAATTAGAGCTCCTAGATATCGTAAATAACGATTGGGGTACACTAATAAGTGCAGTAATGCTAAGGTAAACCTCGATCATTTAGTATAGATGAGAACATTTTGGCGCCCTCCACATTGAACACTTCTTCTAGCGGACATAAGGCATCTCGTGTGCTGCAAGCGTCTACGAGTATAATATCGTATTTTTCTCCTGAATCAAAGGAAGTTTGTTGTGTAGTTTGGAAATATTTTCAGCATTTTAACCTTTTTGCATGGCTTCTTTCACATATTCTATAGCGTCTCCCATAACAAGATGGTGCCTTTTGTCGAGAGTTAAATTGAACCATTTTTTTGAAATCTTGACCATCTCTGGATCCAGCTCTACCACGGTAATATTCATCTAAATCGTATTGCGGGAATTTTCGATTGGGAAATCTTATAGTAGTGAGTCAACCTTGGGAAAATGGTGATGTAAATAAGAATTAACATAGCCGCCTCCTAGTCCTAGAGACAATACTCGCGTTTGTACTTCTTTGCTCATGGGCACGCTTCCACTGAGAAACATTTCTTCTGGAATGGAATTAGGTTATGTATGAATACTTTTATGCTGCAAGTCTATGGTTTAGCTCAGCAGATCAAGTAAGCTTTGAGAGTTATTCAAA